GCAACTTTGGGAATTCGTCTTCCACAAATAACTAATAAGCTAACAGACAACACCTAAAAAACGACACATCCAGCATCTCTTGAAGGAAAAGGGGAGGAAATACGAAAAAAGAAACCAAGATGCCTGCAGACTGGCCATTAGGCTAGGAGCCTTTAGACATAGTAGCCTGCTTGCTGCGCTGAGGTCGCCTACAACAAAAATATCGAGTTAAAAGTTTGAAAAAAAAAAATCAAATGCATCCCAAAAATTAACGAACCAAGAAGACGGTTTTTTCGATTCAGCATGCTAATCGAATTCAAATGGATTTTCAATTTTAGTGCCGGACGCGAGCCTTCGTTTGCTTCAGCGGGACGAAGCTAGAAAAAACTCTTTGATTTCACAATGGCGAATGAAACATATTTCACTGATTTAAAGGAAAAGAGAAATGCGTGTGCTAAAAAAAAATGGAAAAGGGAAAACTTTAGAATTGAATAGGTGAACAGGAAGCAGGCACTGCTGATACACCTTGATATTTTAATCAGCTGCTCCTTCGTCGTCGCATTTCTTGTTACTGATGTAACTGGCTAACTCTCTGTCCTTATGTCTGGGCCTCCCTCACTAACATAATTCCACAAGCAGATTCAAGCGAATCATCTGCTCGCATTATCGGCCTTTTCTGTGATTTTTGGACACTGCCTAGGCACCGCTCAGTAATGTACTTTGTGCGTCGGCTATTCCCTCATTCGTGTTACACGACCATGCTAACTGCTCTTGTCGTAAGTTGCCTTAATAACACCGTTCACAACAAAACTTTTCATCAGAGATGTGCTTCAACCTGCTGACATTTATCATCTGTCGTTCCGTGGTTCACTGAGTCACTTGAACTTTTATCTACCTGCCCCAATGACTATACGCCATGGAACTTCAACTATATTTGGTACAAACACATATGCGAATAAATTAAAAAATTACCACTTCTTCGGTGGTGGAAGCACCAAGCACAGGCGGCTGACCCGTTTCCTCGTTTATATTCGCCTGGGCATGAATTTGGCTCGTGCTGGACTCAAGTACACGAGTGTCATCATCATTCTTATCACTTTCCCAGCTCCCATTTTCGGATTTTATGCTAAAGCAATGTTAGTTGTGAAGCGCGTACAGAACTGGGACAAAACAGCACAGCATTTGAGCTGCTATCTGACAGAACTGTTTTTAAATGCACATTAGCACCTACTTCCTGAATGTTTGTTCCTACCGAGATCAAATTATTAAACTGTGCGAGCACATTCGATAAACAGTTCAACGATGCATACTAAAAATTATTACAATACTCAGGTCCAGCAGATATACGAACGAGTTAGAGCTGCAACTAAAAGAACAGCATGGGAAAGACAGGCCTAAAAAAAGAAATTTATGCTCCTGTTACTGGAGGTAAATTTAAAAACAGCAGCAAGCATCAGAACAGCCGGTGCGATCATCGGTTTTGTGCAATTCCGGTCACCGAACAATTGCCCGTTAAGGATTTTCACTGTTTTGTACTTTATTCTATGCAAAAATAGTCGAAACGCTGAAAAATAGTCAAAAAATTTCACGGACCGGCATGTGAAAGCTGAATTTGAAACCTCGAAGGGTGAATATCCTTCTAAAATTTCAATCTCTAAATTTTCTGGCTTTCGAATAATCTCCGAGAAAAAACTTCCACGTGGTCGTTCGTGAGACCTCGGCATACTTAGGAACTGAATTTGAGTCTGTGAAGCCCCACTTAGGCAGGAAACGTTCTGAAATTTTCAGCCTTTTAACTCTTCTGGCTCTCGAATTAATTTTTTTGTCAAAACTCTCACGGGAACGTGGAAATTTGGAGTTTCACATGGGTAGGGGATGCCACGCTAGAATTTCAGCTTTCTAGCTTTTGCAGTTCAAGAAAAAATTTTCCCTACCGAAACTTTCACGGGACCGTATGTGTTACTCAGGGGTGCGTGAAAGCCGAATCCAAATTCCCCCCGTCGAAACCTTCACGGGGCCGTAGATGATACCTAGACGCTCCGGAAGGCTGAATTAATTCGCGGAGTCGTATTTGGGCAGGGCACACTACCACAAAACTACAGCTTCTTGGCTTTTAGGTTCCCGAGATAATAATTTCCCCGCCAAAATTTTCACGGAGTCGTTCGTGTTACCTGCGGGCAGGAGAAAGCTGAACTTAAATTTTCTCGGTAGCGTTAAGCAGGGGACATGCTCACACAATTTCAGCCTTCTAGCTTGCGTGGTTCCCGAGGTAATAATTTGACCCGTACAAACTTTTGCGGGGCTGTACATGTTACCAGCGGATACGGGGAGACTGAGTTTAAATTAGCGGGATCCAGCTTCCTAGCTTTTGTGGTCCTCAAGTTAAAAGCTGCGGACATACATACACAGACAACCGCGTGACAATATGCGTCTTGTACTGGTGTCATACAGCAGAAACACATAAAAACGAAGATACCGAGAATGACAAGACCGATCGGGTAGCTAGTGTGGTTATCCTATATTAATGGCGCTACTGAATCTACGATCCTGATCTGCATGCCTCCAGTTAGTACCCACACCTGCTCCATGCACGTGCATCATCTCTTCAGAGACCGCCCGCTTGGTTATTTATTTCCTTGTAGATACCACTCACTAATGCACAAAGTGTACCGGTTATTGGCAAGGCGAGCAACGAGCCCTACGCATCGGATTTTACTTTCTCGTGTGGCCACAATGATATCCCACATGTCACTCATCTGACGGGGAGACTGGCTGATCATGCAGCTGCGAAGAGACACTTCGCTCTATCGTCCACTCCGCTACAACCAAATTCGCTGCTTAACTTCCGTCAGTAACCGCGTTTCGCACCCGTACTTCGTTGCTTTCGACACAGTGGTATCCAGTGAAGAAGCAGGCAAGGCCCTTTCGATTCGATACTTTGAGGACAATGATGCCGGGAATTTGCGTCAATCCCAACACTTTTATATGCAAAAACCGTGACGCATATATACTTCCTGTTCAAAACATACGTAGTTGTCAACTGCCTCAAAGTCTATCTTTAACATTGGTTAAAATGCGTTAACTTTACATTATCTTCGTAAAAATGCGTTAATTTCCAGACCCTTTCTTACTTCGTGTTTAAGTTTTTGCAACATTTCATTTATCTCGCAAGGGCTGCTCACAATAAAAACTATATCAATCGCGCATCGTACATAATTCGTCTGATGGCCATTGATCTCCAAACCATCATCCCAATTCAATTTCAAAAACATCTCTAAGCAGGCTTTAAAAAGTTCGGACGAAATAGGCTTTGTCTCTCACAAGCTCGCACCGCAGCATTCAGCTATACAGTCTCGAATGCTTTTTCATGATCTAACGGTCGGTGGCCCGTACATGAGCAGCAAGCATTCTCAGATATATACTGCTTCCTGCTCAGTCTGGTTATCAAGTAAGTTGGGTACCAACAGTGTTCCCAACTAAACATTTACTTGCATGCACGCAGATTTAGCCGCGTATTAAAGTTTATTTAGCTCACACAAGTATATAAAGTATCCCTGTGCAAGTTCGGCTTTCTATCTTGTCTGGCTCCCGAAAGCGCTTTCCCGCTAAAAAATTTGCATGTTTTCTTTTCGGCGTCAATAGATGACACCCAAACGTGCGTGAAAATTTTAAATCGTGAAGGTCGCTCGCGGAAGCAAATCCCTTGAATGCTGGGTTGAAAATGGGTGACGAGATGCAACAGACGGACAGACGGACAACCTCTTGTCAACAGGCGCTTTTTTTTCATTTGCATAAATATGCAGAAACAAATATATTCACTGAAAACTGCATCATTCGACTCACTTCATAATGAGCCCACCGCTCTCCGGATCAGTTACAATGCCATGCTGTTGCTGTTGCGAAGTGCCGGCATATGCGCCCGCCAAATGCGCATCATTATAAAAAATACTCCTTTCAGCACCAAACTGAGCCGACAGAGCGCGGTACTGCGCTTGGTATTTGGCCATCGGCATTGAATGCTCACACCTTAAGAAATTACAGTCATTCCTGGATAGCAAGACAGGGGAAAAAAGAAAGCATTCCGCTATGCGCTGCACAAAGGCGCAAATTTTTACAGAACCCAGGCTGGAACGCACCAGGCGGGCTGGTGCGATTATGCGTTTTTGCACTTTCTTACCGTAGCAAGATCGCAAGGAGTCAATGTAACTAACCCTGTGAAATACTGGCCTTCGAAGTTCGG